TCCTCCTAGGGCAGAGAGGCGAGAGGTCACGCTGCACCAAGGGATAAGGAGGGCCAAAAGATCGACTCCCTGGCCAGGCGAGTCTACGCTGCCTCAGGCCTGGGGCTGTGTATCTCCAACTACGAGGCGATGTTGGCGAGGTATCAATACTTCATAATGCAAGGCCTGCACAACGTTGCCTCGACCCTCCCGGACCACCAGGGTGACCTGGCGAAGGTGTTTATCAAGGAGGCGATGCAGGTTGCTGTCCAGCAGTTGTCCACAGCCAGGCACCATGTGGACACAGACTCGAGGGCCTTGGTTGGTGCCGTTTCACTCCGGAGACACGCCTGGCTAAGAAATTGTAACTTCCTGGAGGAGACTAAACATTGGATAGAGGAAATGCCCTTCGACGGGTCTGGGCTTTTCCACTCACGCACCAACCACAAGTTAAACAAACTACATGAATCCCACATGACGGCACGCAGGATGGAGCTACAGACCCAGACCAGGCGTAAGTGGTCGTGGACTCGTCCATCTTATAGGCAGTCCTATCAGCCTAGACAGCAGCCCCAGCACCGGCAGCAGCAGCAACAGCAGTGCCGCTGTCCACAGCCCTAGCAACGCTATCAGCAAGGCCACCGCCATTTCAACGATAGGAGACAGCATTGACGGGACTGGCAAACCATTCCTCTGATCCCTTCCATACCCACCCCCCTCTCATCTGGGGATCGGCTGCGAAGCTGACTCCCCATTTGGGAGTCCATCACATCTGATCGGTGGGTATTGTCCATCATTCAGCACAGCTATCGGATAGAATTCGACATCATTCCTCCTTCGGGTCCGATCCGGTTTACATCATGCTCGCCGGTACTACTCGATGAAATACAACAACTTCTTCATAAAGGAGTGATTTGTCAAGTAACCTCACCTGACGGACTCCACAGATTCTATTCCAGATATTTTACAGTCCCGAAGTGGGATGGTGGTCTACGTCCGATTTTGAACTTATGTAATCTGAATCGATTTATCGTGACAAAGTTTTGAATGAAGTTTCGTTTCGAATGAAGTTTCGTTTTGCTGTTGTACCCCATTTCTGCGAATTTACAGTTTTACCTTTTGGACCGGCCACTACTCCGAGAGTGTTCACCAAATGTATGCCCCCTGTCTGTGCTTTCCTACGCCTCTAAGGCATACAAATTTACCCTTACCTTGATGATTGCCTGCTAGTGTCCCGATCTAGGGAAGGACTCCTCGCATCCATCCGTACAACCTGTGCCTTGTTGGATGATCTGGGCCTACGCATTAATACCGAGAAATCTTCTCTTCCGATGCAGACACTTACCTTCATTGGAGCCCACCTGGATTTGACATTGGGAAAAGCCTTCCTTCCTCGGGACAGACAACAGATTCTTTCTCGCCACATCCATCGAATGCGAAGAGACGGGACAGTCCCGGCAAAGTCCATCCAGAGGATCCTGGGACATATTGCTTCCTCGGTTGCTGTGGTGCCACACGCCAGACTTCGGCTCCGTCCATTTCAATTCCTCTTCAACAAGATGTTCCACCCACAGAGAGACCCATCGTCGAAATTGATTCAAATCCCATCCTCGGTGCTCCATTCTCTGCTCTGGTGGTCAGTACCAACCAATCTGACTGTTGGGGTTCCCTTCAGGCCACAATGTCCTTCAATAACCCTCAGTACCGATGCATCTCTTCTAGGATGGGGAGCGATATGCTCCGGCCTATACACCCAAGGCACATGGAATCATTGAGAATCCATGAATCATATCAACTTCCTGGAGCTGCTGGAAGTATTCAGGGCCCTACACTCTTTCGAGGATGTTTTCCAACATCGGGTCGTTCAGATAACTTCAGACATCATAGCCACAGTCTTCTATCTGAACAAACAAGGTGGAACAAAGTCCCCGACTTTGGCCAGGCTTTCAATGAAAATTTGGGACTGGTGCATTCCGAGAGACATTACGCTGATGGCAGTCCATCTGGCTGGTACGGATAATGTGCAAGCAGACCTCCTCAGCAGGCACCTGTTCACCTCTCACGAATGGGAACCAGATCCTTGGACATGCGACCATCTCTTTCATCGCTGGGGGTTCCCTGACGTGGACTTATTCTCCACCCAACAGAACAAGGTGTGCGATGCTTACTGTTCGAGAGCGGGAATCGGGGACGGATCCCTAGGGGATGCATTCATGATCCCCTGGAACAACCTGATCTTTTACACCTTCCCTCCAATCACTCTTGGTGATAGCGAAGATAGTATATGATCGAGCCGCGGGGATACTAATTGCCCCTTGATGGCCACGCCAAGCTTGGTTTGCAACACTGCTCGACATCTCTTGCAGGGAATGACTCCATCTACCACTGCTTCCGTACCTCATAACCCAACAGGGTGGTACACTTCACCATCCAGATTTACTGTCATTGAACTTAACAGCGTGGCGAATCCGATAGCTACCATTGCGCCACCGGTATCAATGACAACTTCAAGTGAATCGAATCCTGCCGTCGAATCCAGTGGGTTCGGCATTTCCTCTTCATTTCTTCCTTCCGTACCGTCGGATTCAAGGATTGATCCGTCGAATCCGACAGCCTTTCATCCGGATTCAAGGATTGATCCGTCGAATCCGACAGCCTTTCAACACATCCTTGATTCTGCTTTGAAGCTGTTCACGCGGAAGTCCTACGCGGCTAAATGGAGACAATTTTCTACCTTTGCCGAGTCTCTTTCGTTCTCTCCATTTACATCATTGACACATCAAATCCTTTAGTTCCTATTAGAACTGCACCATTCCAGATTGAAACCGTCTTCAGTTAAAGTGTATACGGCAGCAATAGCCTACCATCGTGGCTTGGTTGACGGATCAATCATCTTCTCTCAACCTACTGTTTAGAGGTTTCTTAAAGGACTTCATAATCTTAATCCATCAATCAGGCCAGTAATGCCTACATGGAGTCTCTCTGTTGTTCTGCAAGCGCTTACGAGAGCTCCTTTCGAACCATTGGCAACAGTCGATTTACGTCTGGTTTCATGGAAGACAGCGTTTCTTGTTGTGGTCACTTCAGCCCGAAGGGCCAGTGAGCTCTGCACTCTCTGCATACACCCGCCTTACCTGAATGTTCACAGAGAAAAGGTCGTTTTGCACCTCGATCCATCTTTTATTCCTAAGGTGGCTACATCTTTTCATATGGGACAGGATATTATCTTACCTGCCTTTTTTCCATCTCCGTCAATTCCGTTAGAAAGATCGTTGCACTCACTTGACGTTCGGCGTTGTTTAGCCTTCTACAGATCAAGGACTGAATCTATTCGACATAGCTCAAATAGACTATTCATTAAATATTCCACCAGAGATCAAGGCGATCCAGTCACTCCGCAGAGACTTTCCAAGTGGATAGTCCATACTATCACTTTATCCTATCAACTATTATGCTCTATTGTATTTCAATGTATTTTATTGTGTTGTAAGCCGCCCCGAGGCTTCGGCAAGGGGCGGCATAGAAATGTTATAATAATAACAACAACAACAACAACAACAACAACAACTGGCTAAGATTGAATTACCTACAGCCCCTTGAAACCATTCGACTAGGGCTGTTGTAGCCTCATCTGCCTTTGCATCAGGGGTCCTGATTGATGATGCATGCCGAGCTGCTATTTGGGCGAACCCTTGCACTTTCGCCAGACATTATCATCTGGATGTTCAGGCTCGGCAAGATTGCTTCTTTGGCAGAGTCGTTCTTTCATCTATTCTTCATTGAGGCCACCTCCCCTCCTCCTTTTATGGTAAGCTTGTTAATCTACCCATATGTGTGATGCACAGAGGCCACGACGAAGAAAAGCAGGTTGCTTACCTGTAACTGATGTTTTTCGAGTGGCCCTCTGTGCAGTCACACAACCCACCCGCCGGCCCTGCTTGGTGTCGGTGAGTGGACATATTCGTTGGTACCGAAAGTTTTCCCTTTTTTCATGGTACCGATCTTTTTTCCTATCTCATACTGGAAATTTTTTTCCACGTGGGGGCGTACGTTTGGTCATCAAAGACTGAACAAAATGGCGGATGCTCCGCTCTTTATAGGCTACGGGGGAGGGGGAGTGGAGCTTTTCAGCCAAAAACCGTTAGCTTGCAATCTTCCAGCCAAAGGCACTGCGCAGGCACAGCACCCATATGTGTGACTGCACAGATGGCCGCTCGAAGAGCATCAGTTACAGGTAAGCAACCTGCTTTTCTAAAAATGAATTCTGTTTGGGGCAGAATTGAAAAATGAATTCTGTTTGAATGGGGCAGGGGAGAATGATACTTCAGGAATCTAAAAACAACCACATTGCAAATATCAGTTGTAAATTTCATTGTGTTACTAATAGCATTGACCTATTCATGAAATTAATTCTATTCAGTTGGAATTATTTGGATATTAATGGATATAAGGTTGCAACTGTCACTGTATTTAAGACAAGAACTGAGGAGATTTAAAACTACCATTATTTATTTTATAGAATCAGAATAGTAGCATTGGAAGGAGCCAAAAAGGCCATCAGGTACAACCCCCTGCTAATTGCAAGACTCCAAGTTAAACCTTCTCTCTCAGCTCTCAGATGGCTGTCCAATTTCAGTAATTTCTAGTCACTTTTCAGAACACAAATCCTTCTAAGATAGCTTAGAAGTAACATCAGTATCTATTAATATGATAGCATTAAACACGATTTTTAAAATGTTCAGTGAACATGTGAGAGGCCACAGGCAGGGCCCAAACTATGCTTTAGAACTGCAGAGACCAAGATGCCTCCAGGTCCAGGGACACTCTATCATGACTTCTGTAACCATTAGGATTTCTTGCATTAATAGCAGATGTAACTCAAGGAGGTTTAACGTGTATCTAATCAGAACCCATGCAGTTGCTGGAATGGCATTATTTGGAAAATTTATGAAATCTCTTACCACAATTACACTATAAATCAAATAACTGCATTCTTTTACCTTTGTTTGTTTCATATCTAGGTCACTGTGGGAAAACTTTTGCCATTTTGGAAAGATTTTTAAATCATAGCCCAGCTACAACACCTTGGTTAGTCATTGTGGATGATGATACTTTAATAAGGTATGAATTTCAGAATTGGGTGGAAGCTAAATTGTACATTGCATTGCAAGTTAACAGTTGAAACCCACTACTGTGGAACTAACATGAAGTGGTGCAGATCCCAAGTGAAACATGAAATTCATGATCCAGTATCTTCTGTTGAACAGAAAATCCAAGTAACATAGAGCAAATCAAAAACACTTCTCAGATGTTAAATTAAATATTAAATATACTTGAAGCACTCATTGTAGCAGAAAATTGAATTAGTGTTTTGAAAAATAGCAAATTGGAGTAACAAATCCCTTGTTTCAGCATTGGGATTTGATACTGAAAATGAACTAGAAGTTCCAACTGCAGCAACAATATAGGAAAGGTCGTGAGCAGGTTTGCATGTCACAACAACCCTTTGTGGTAAATTACTACAGTGGGTTACTGTGAAGTGCTGAGCAGCTACATTGAGTCCAATGGATAATCAGGCTCATCATGGTTGCTTTCTTCTCTCTCCCTGCCTCCTTCGTTCGTGGTCGTATCCCCGGGGACAATGCAGGAAGGAATGAGGCCCCTCTCTTTGATAGTCACAAATGAGTTCAGCTCTCCGTGGCTGTCAGAGTCTTCACTGCACCAACAGGTCTCTTGCCTTAAAGTGCAGTAGAAAGGATGGGGAGCTGATAAGGCACACTAGCCTACTCATCTAGAGGAGATCTCTGGAGCAGGAGGTGGGTGCCTCATTTACTCTATGTTGCTGCACTATTCTCAGGGCAGTCCTGCCAGCAAGATTGCCAGCTTCTGCCTAGAAGTCATTTGAACCTAATCAGTATCTTTAATTCCTGTTGTGTTTTGAGTACAATGGTCTTTAAAACTCTTTCAGCGCTGCTGGCCCAAAAAACATATTCATGTTTTTGAATTAGATCATTCAACTGATTATCATCTATGATTTCCTTTTGTTAAAAACGAAATATAATAGTGAACAGGAACAAATTCTGACATGTTTACATCCTAAATTGCTTTTTATATTTGCTAAATTGAAATTTCACTGTTGCAAGAAATAATTTTCCTTTTTACAAATGGAAACATGGCTTAGAATTTGACAGATTATAGCACAGAAAGATAAGCCTAATGTTCGTTTCTGTGAAATCCTACAATGGCTGTTAATTTAATCCAATTCCAGTATGAAGAGCTATTTTTATATAAACTACATAACGTAATATTGAAATGTCAATTTATTATCTTTTCTTTTCTTTGTACTCCATCTCAAAAATTCATGCTCACTTCTTGAGAATAGTCTTTCTTGTGAAGAGATAACATCATCTTTGTCTCTTTGATTAGTTTTTTTCCACTGAATATCTCTTTCTTTTTGCAGTTAGAGCTTATTATGAAAGAGTTCTTATTGACCTAGAAGGTGATAGAAACTTAAGAGCTTAGGCATGTGCAATTACATTGCCAGCAACAGTAGCTGAACAATGTGATATTTGCCACATTTAAATTTCAGCATTTGTGACCTAGTGATAAATTGCTCAGAATAATTTTCTGGCATCAACTATCTGCGGTAATCCATGAGCGTCCTGGAGGCAACAATGCTGTTTTATCCACTAATATGTCTTGCTGCATTAGCTGATGCCAAAAAGATGAATTAACAGAATGTTGCATTAGATCATAATCTCTTCAGTGGTTGGGATGTGTAGCTGTCTAATGACCTGTAATACTCCCTGACCTACTCTTCCCACAGAGTCACTTGGAAGTTGGTCATGCAAGATGCCCTCTGTAGAATCAGTGGCAGCTAATCAAAAGAGTCAGATCAAGGCTGACAGAAATGCTGGAGTCCACTTCCAATCTAGGCACTTCTGTCTATCCAGAAGGAAATTAAAATTAGATTCTGATAATTTAATCATAAAATTAGATTATGAAGGACTGCAACTCTAATATATCATGTGTAGCCACTGCTGAATTTTTACCACTGTTTCAGTGTGGTACAGACCTTATCCGAGGCTTTGTTAAATCTTCAAGTATTCTAAAGGGGATTGATCTTCCAAACTTTAATGTTCTTTCATAGGATCATAAGAGTTGGAAGGGACCTTGGCAATCATCTCATGTAACCTCCTGATTACGACAGGATCTGCAGGGAAGAATGCAACTACAGCTTTCCTGATGAATACTTCCAGTGAAGGAAATGCAGCAGCCCCTGAGAGAATCTTAGTCTGCCAATAGTTGTTATCATTAGAAAGTTTCACCTAATATTTAAGCTGAAATCTGTTCACCTGTAATTTCCACCCACTGGTTCTACTCCTGTCCTCTGGAGCAACAGGTGCAGTCCAGCTTCTTTGTACCAGCCCTTCAGATGTTTGAAAATTGCTATCATCCTCCCCCCTTAATCTTCTCTTCAGACGTTTTCACAATTGTAGGACTTAGTTTGCAGACCCATTACCATCTTGCTTGTCCTACTCTGGACATACTTGTCAATGTAAAATGTGGTTCCTAGAGCAGGACACAATGTACTTCGATCAGAGCAAAACAGGGAAGAACCATTCCTTCTCATGATATGAATACTGTTCTTCTGTGTGCTGTATTTTTTTTAGCAACCACGTCACACTGCTGGCTCATGCTCAGCCTATGATTGTCTAAAACAGTTAAATCCTCTTCATGTATGCCAACGGAGGTCTCCCTTATCCTATTTTGTGTATTTCATTTGAGTACCTAAATTCAGTAATTTACAATATCTCTGTATTTCATCTTGCTGGTTTGGCCCAGTGTTCTAGCCTACCAAAATAGTTTTGAATCTAGATTCTGTTTTTTATGGCATCAGCTGTTCTTCCAAGTTTGGTCTCATCTCTAATAAACAACTGTTTTCATCAAAGCAATTTGTAAAGTTCTTTAATAGTACAGGAGTGAGGGCAGAGTCTCTCACACTCCAGTTGAGACATTTTTCTAGGTCAATCTAGAACAGTTAATGGAGAATTAATTAATGGATGTTTGGAAATAAGTTTGATTTGGCAAGATTTATTCTTGATAGATTCATGTTGGGTACTAATAATCAGTATATTCTTTTGTAGATGCCCACTTAGTAATGTGTTCTAGAATTTTGCTTGGTATCAGTATTAGGGTTATTGGCATTGTTTTTGGAGACTAGGGCAGTATTTTCCCATTTCCAGTCTGTAGGCATATCACCTGTTTCTATAATATGTAGGTGGAGATGAACTCATTGAAAATAGCTAGGGGTTTTTCCATGCATAATTTGTTTCATTTTTCTCAGGCTGAACACAATTCACTTTGCAGAGGAAGATGAAGGCAAAATAGGAATTGAAAAGTTCTACCTAAGCTCCATTACCTGACAATTCAACCTTCCTGAGCCTGGTGCCTTCTAAATGTGTTAGACTACAATTTCCATCAACCCATGTCTATTAGGGTTGATGGGCATTCTAGACCAACACATCTGGAAGGTAGTGGATTTAGGAAGACAGTTCTCCATGCAGCAGAGACCTACCATTTGTTGCTATTCTTGTTCCAAACATAGCTAAAGATGTTTTGTTTGTTTGTTTTGTTTTGTTTTATCAAGCTTCTTTCCAAGCTTCAACTGATTAGTTTTAGCTTTTATGACACCACATTTACTGGTTTGGGCTACCCTTTCAATTTCTTTTTAACCAATTTGTATTTTTCTCTGGTTCCAGTGATTAAAATGAATATCCACTGTTAATTAGGGCTTATTTCCTGTTCTTATGCTAAACATAAACAAACTGCACTTGAATATAAAGGGAATAAAATGAAACTAGCCATGGTTTAAAAATTCTTTAAACTATTTATGCTTTCCGTTGCACCAGTCTATTCAATTGTTTGGTGCAACTCAAAAACTAAAAGACTTCTATGTCACCAGAGACCATGGGCAGGGGTTCAGTCTTTAAAAACCATTATGCTATTTCACGTTTGCTAAGAGAGATAAACCCTTCTGAAAAAAATGAACATGGTTTCCACAAGGGGAAGGCCTGTCCCACTAAGCTATTGGAGTTCTTTGAGAGTCTTAATAAGCAGGTAAACAAGGATGATCCAGTAGACACTGTATGCTTGAACTTCCAAAAGACTTTTGACAAAAGGCCCTCACCAAAGGCTCCTGAGCAAACTAAGCAGTCATAGAATAAAAGGGGAGAGGTCCTCATATGGATCATTAACTGGTTAAAGGACAGAAGACAGAGAGTGGAAATAAATGGCAATTTCTCCCAGTTGAGGGATGTAACCAGTGAAGCCCCCAGAGTTCTACATCAGGACCAGTGCTTTTCAACCTATTAAGCAGTGATTTGGCCACATTTGCTGGTGACACCAAACTATTTAGAGAGGTTAAATTTAAAAGGGATTGTAAAAAGCTCATTGGTGTTTGCTGGAATGTACAGAGATGAACAACATGAGTAGTCTGATGATACTTGTTTCTTTCATCAAGCAAACACAGAAGATTCTGGAGGCAAAGCATGGAAAACATGTCTCAGCCAGCAGTGATCCTGTTACCCATTTGGTCTCCCCAGACATGCCACCTGGAAAGGGGAGGGTAAAAGGCTCCTTGATTTGTCAAAACAGCCGATATGGATTGATGTTAAATATAGTTGTTATTTATTTCATTTCTATACCACCCCATAGCTGAAACTCTTTGGGCAGTTAACAATAATATATAAAACAAAACAATAAATTACAATACCAATACTATAAAACCAAAGAACTGTTAAAAAGAATTGTTCAAGTGTCTTAGGTGATAAACAAACCTACAGGGTTGCCAGATATGACCAACATGGCAAAAATGCTCCATCTAAAACCTCCATAAATAAGATAAATAAATATATATTTTCCAGAAGTGCTATATGGAAAAGCTGCTGCTGATGCTTGATGATAAAAAATGGAAATAACAAACTCTTTATATAATTTATCTATATAAATTAAGAAAGTTTTAAGTAGAGGTATGACTATTTTTCATTTGCCTTCCATTACATATCATACCATGGGAATTCGCAGAACATGTAATGAAGCTACCTGTGGAGTAAAAAGCTGTGAGCAAGGAAAAAAGACAGTGATTACTTCCGTGTACATTAAAGCCATTTGCTATTTATCTCTAGTGTTTTTGGTTGTTTGATTTATCAGAATGCAATATGTAACAGCACTTCACCTTTTTGAAACATTGCATAATATATGAGCCATTCATTTGAATAAAAGAGTTTATATTGCAATCAATGTTCAAATTGGCATTAATGAAGCCAAATTAGCATCCATGTTTGAATAATCTGTGTTAAATTGTATCCTTTACTTATAAATAGATAATTCAAAAGAGTTGGATGCTTCTCCAGCTTGAGGCACCAACATGATAGCACAATCTCTGATGTTGCACTGATACTGTACCATATTTAGGCAAGTTCTAGATGGAGGCCGTTGAATTTGCTGGTCATACTTAATAACCCTATGATGGAGTGATAGTTGATTTTAGCACTGTGATCACCACTCCAGTTGCTGGGGAAACATTTAGAAGCTCTTTGATTTGTCAAAACAACAGCTGATAGGGTTTAATATTAAATTTAGTTGTTATTATTTATTTATTTATTTCATTTCTGTACCACCCCATAGCTGAAACACTGGACAGTTTACAACACTGTATAAAACAAAACAATAAAATACAATACCAATACTGAAAACCAAAGAACTGTTAAAAAGAATTTAAAATGTATTTATAATGGCTAAAATCATACAGTAAAAAAGACCCTGTGAAATAAAAGAAACACCTCGATAACTTAGATCTTTAAAGGCCTCCACATAAAGGACTGTCTTGACCTAGCACCAAAAGGAGGACAGGTTTGGCTCCAGGCAGGAAGTTGCTCCAAAGATGAGAGCCATCACAAAAAAGCACTCCCCCAGTTGCCACCCTCTGAACCTCCTGTGGGATTGACACTTGGAGGAAAGCCCCAGAGTTTGAGAATAGTATCTGAATAGATTGTGCTTGGGAGAGGCATTCTGACAGATATTGTGGTTCCAAGCTGTGTAGGGCTTTATGGGTTAAAGCCAGCACATTGTTTGGGCCTGGAAACATACAGGCAAGCAGGCCAGAACCAGTCTTACATGTTCAGACCTATGGGTCCCAGTTATTAATCTGGCTGCCACATTCTACATGAGTTGCAGCTTTTCAACTGTCTTCAAGGGCAGCCCCACAAAGAGTGCATTGCTTTTTTAAAATAGTTGTAATACTTTATTATTAATATTTTTAAAAGAGTGCATTGCAATATTCTTATTTAGAGATTACGAAAGCATAGCTTACTGAAACCATGCTATCTCTGTCCAGACAGGGGCATGGCTAGTCCACCAGCTGAAGCTGGTAGAAGGCACTTGGAGCCACTGAGGCCACCTGAGCCTCAAGTGACAAAAATGGATCAAGGAACACCCCCAAGCTACAAACCTCCTCCTCCAGGAGGAGTACAACCCCATCTAGAACAGGCTGAACAACCACTTTCTGGAACCACCCACTGACAGCATCTCAGCCTTGTCTGGATTGAGCTTCAAGTTGTTAGCCCTCATCCAATCCATTGTTGCAACCAGGCACTGGTTTAGCATGTCCACAGCTTCACCTGCTGAAGATGTAAAAGAGAAATAGAGTTGTGTGCCATCAGCATACTGAAGGTGGGACACTCAAACTCTGGATGACGCCAGTCAGTGCTTTTATGTAAATGTTAAACACCATGTGGGAGTAGAAAAGAACCCTGAAGAACTCCTTGCTGGCCCTCCAAGAGGGAGAAAAACTATTGCAACACAGTGCCCCAAACTCAGGCAGTCACCATAGAAGCCATGGTTGATGGTATAGAAAGGCGCTGAGAGACTCAGGAGTATCAGCAGTCATACTCTTCCTGTCTCTCTCCCAGTATAGGTAATCATACAGGACAACCAGAACTGTTTCCATGCTAGAACCAGGCCTGAAGCCCAACTGAAATTAATCCAGATAATCAGACCCATCCAAGAATGTCTAAAGCTGATTGGCAACCACTTTCTCTGGAACTTTGCCCAGGAAGGGGATGTTTGCTACCAACCTAAAGTTATCAAGGTCTTTTAGGTCAAGAGAGAACTTTTTTCAGAAGTGGTCTTATTGCTGCCTCTTTCAGGAGGCATGGGACCACTCCCTCCCACAAACATGCATTAATCACCTCTCTGACCCAATTACTAAGTTACCAGTTATGAGATAGGAAATAAATGATGTCAAATTTAAGAGAGCTATGAACCTGTTCAATTCCTTTTGGTCCTGCTGCAATATCTAAATATGTCAAAATGATGAAGCTTGACATAGATTAAATTTTATGAAGATTTGTTTGGCTTTTTGACTCTAAAATCATTCCTGATGGCCATCTTTTGGGAATAGTCTGGGGAAAATGATATGTATGGTTTGAAGAAAAGACACTATATAGCAAACAAACTTAATTCCTTTTAAAGTAATATTTCATAAAATGTATAGGTTTTTCTTTGAAATAAGTCAAAGAGGGTTTTTAAAAAAGAAAAGAAAAAGCTCCTAAAATAATCAGAAGATAATTTATTTTCATCTTCAATGTCAACAATTAATCTACAAGTGTTTTGTTTAGGCTAACAGTTTAAGGGCCTGGAAATAGTTTAACAGAATTAAATGTATCACATCATATTTGAACTTGCTGTTTTATATTTTAGTATCTCCAGGCTTCAAACATTACTCAGCTGTTATGAGCCAAATGAACCAGTGATACTTGGTGAACGTTACGGCTATGGATTGGGGTCCGGAGGCTATAGTTACATCACTGGTGGAGGAGGGTAAGTCATTTGATTGGAATTTTTTAGCAGACTAGAAGCACTTAAGAACAAAACTTGTTACTCTGTTCAGCTGGTTGGTGATGTTTGTCCATTAGACTTTTGTCTGCACAAGTCGAAGAAGACCAGTATATGAAGTAAGTTCTGGAAAGTTATGCTGCCACATAATGCTACTAAGAACCATATGGGAAAACTATACTAATTTTTATCTTCAAAAGCCATACTATGATTTGGACACCAGAGAATCATTGAAAAGAGATACTCGTATGTTCTTGTAAGAGTGGATTTCAGTAGGTCTTTGTAAGCCATCCTTTTTTTTCTTTCTTACAGGGTGACATTTATTTTTGTATTTTTAATTTAATGTCTATATTTTTTAACTTAATGTTATAATTTATTTTTAACTTATTGTTGTAAGCCGCCCCGAGGCTTCGGCGAATGGGGTGACATAAAAATGTTTTAATAAATAAATAAATAAATAAATAAAATACTATAAATGTTGTTGTTGCAAACCACCTAGGGAACTCTGGCTATAGACCAGTATAGAAATTAAATAAGCAAGCAAGCAAACATGAATAGTGATACAGTTCCATGCAGGGGAGAGCAAGAGGAAGTCATATGAGGAGGTAGCTTCCTCCTGTCCTGATTATCCCACAGTGCCTTACTCCCCTCAATCCTGGGTTATATGCTGTTAGTTCTTGTGCCTAACTTAAGTTAGCCACAATAGGTTATGATGCCTGTGGGTGATCAACACTGCCACCCCAACTTCTTGTTACACAGAAACCTGGTGAAAGTGGAGTCTCTGACAAGCCACCCAGAACCTGCAGTCTGTTTCAGGGCTATAGGTGGCTTGTCACCCACTGCAACAAACTTCATAAAAAGCTGTAAGAGTATCCCCACTGTGCTCCAAATATTCCAACTCCTGGCTGCTGCTTCAATAACAACCTCATAGGAAATTTACCCACAGTAGTTTCTCATTCTGTGCAGATAGGGGCCTCTAAATAGGATTAACATAAATATATTGTTAACACTGAGTCCTATTCATTGCACTAGGTCTACTCTGAGTAGAACTAATACAGAATACAAGAAATTGTTCTTGCAGTGCTGCTTCCTTCTCCTGCTGGAAAGGTGCTCTGCAGCCAGAACTTCCTGTCTAAAGGTCCAGCAGTGGCATCCTTTCTTCCCATGACAAAGAGGCATCAGTCAATCAGCTCTTGATTCTTGCTATAGGAAAGAGACATACATTAACATTTGATCTCGAAGAATTTCAAAGTGCTTTAAACATCTTTTTAATATACACCTGTCTCAGACCTTATTCTGTTAAGAAGCATTAGCAGAGATAACCTTGCTTTTCTTCTGAAATAAGTACAGTTTTGCTAAAAGAAAATTGGCAGTATTCAGCATAGCCACTGCACAAATAATGGAAAATTAACTGTACTTATAGGGAAGCCTTAGAACAAGCAGAAGCACTAATTTCTTTTATTGGGACATGTTGGTGGAGCTCCCTTGTGCAGGCATGACTGACCTGCATTGCTCCAGAAACAATTATTTCCATTCATTCCTAGTTGCGCCTAGAAGCACTAAATCTATATTACAAAAACAATGGGACTTGCTTATGGAAGAGAATCAGTGGGGCATAGCACCCTGTGTATACTACCCAGTGCTTTAATATAGCAATGACTCATTGTAACTAGTGTTGTGAATTCATTATTTTCCTGATCACTTAGAACTAGGCATAGTAAAACAGTAGTTAACTCCTTCTCAGTTATCATCTTCTTATGATTTGTCACTGAAGGATGGTCTTCAGCAGAGAAGCAGTCCAAAGATTACTTGCTAGTAAATGCCGGTGTTACAGCAATGATGCCCCGGATGATATGGTAATTGGAATGTGTTTCAGTGGTTTAGGAATTCCAGTAACACACAGCCCTCTTTTTCATCAGGTGAGTACAGAGAAGCATCTATTAATGTTACTCCATAAAATCATGCAGAGGTTGAGGTGGCTGGATGGGATCATTGGAGAGGTGGGTGTAGGGCTGGGTGTCTCTGGGGGATGGTGGAGGACAGAAGAACCTAGATGCAACTGAACAACAACATAAAATCATGGCTATTAGTGTGGGAAACGACATATTAGAACATGATACAATTTTATTATCATTACATTACAGTTTTGTTTATTTATTTAGACTTTTATATCCCGATCACTACCCTGGAGCTCTCAAAACGGAGCTATCATTGGGGAATATGTTACAAAAATATTGCTACTTCTGCATACTATCCAGTCAGTGCAAAAACTTGGAAAAATGGACAGTTACAGAGTGAGGCATTTAGTTTGGCAGGAACGTAAACAAAATATTAAGAGGTGGTATGGCAATAGAAATGCATCTAGAAACAAATCTGTAAAAAGTTTCACAGTAATAGAGGAAGAAGGAAAAATGAGTTGAACCAGCCCTTATTATCTCAGTTCTTAAAATTATACTTGATTTTTGTACCTGATGGTTTCTTGCCTTATCTGCATATATAAGCATTCCTTTTCTCCCGTTCTAACCTATAACAGAACATGTGTCCATTTCATTTTTATTTCCTGTTTGTGAAAGCTGCTCTCTTTGATTCTCAGATTGTGACTGTCAAAATACTTCATAGCTTTCCAACGCTTAATTCTGCAGTTTAAAAAGGCAATCAAGCAATATCAATTTTCCCTTATGGACAACAGGATGGCATTCAGTGTGGATAAGTGCAAGGTCTTGCACTTGGGGCATAGGTATAGGTGTCATAAGTACAGGTTAGGGGACAAGTGGCTGGAGAGCAGCACTTGTGAAAGGGATCTCAGAGTACTGGTTGACTTCAGGCTAAGCATGAGTCAGCAGTGTGATGCGGCGATCAAGAGGGCAAACACCACCCTTTGTTGCATAGCCAGAAGTGTGGCTTCTAGATCAAGAGAGGTATTACTGCCACTCTGTATGACTCTGGTGTGCCTGCAACTTGAGCACTGTGTTCAGTTTTGGGCTCCATACTACAGGAGGATATAGCCAGATTGCAGGGAAAGCCATATGAAGTGAGACTGAGGGAACTGGATCTTTTCAGGCTGGAGAAGAGGAGACTCAGAGGGGATCTGTTGGTGACATAGGTACATGAGGGGGTGTCATACAGAGGTGAGTAGAGATCTGTTTTCTCCTGCAAAGAAGGGTAGGATATGTTCCATTGGAGCAAAGCTCAGGAAACCAAGGTCCAATTTGGATGCCAGGAAGTACTTCCTGACAGTGAGCACCCCTAGAGTATGGAAAGGGCTTCCACAGGAAGTGGTTGAATCCCCATCAGTGAGGGTGTTCAAGGATAGGCTGGACATGCACATGGTAGGCATGTCATGACCAGTCGGCTGGAGCCGGGGGTCAGACTAGATGGTCTGGGAGGCCCCTTCTGACTCTCTGTTTCTATGGTTTTAGCATTTTTATACAAGTTCTGCTTTTTATACAAGTTTTGTGCATATACAAGCCACTTTATTTCCTAAAGGGTATTGTCTACTTTTATCTATATTTTAGGGTAATGTGAATATATTCATTTGCACATACTTATCTGGAACCTGTTTGTAAAGGAAATATGAAAAAGAATTGTTAATAATTGCATAAGAAATATGCTGTTAAAAACTGTGAAGCTATGCTAAATCATCATCATATTTCAATAGCTTTTAAATAAAAAAGGAAGCTACCATATTACTGGATTAATACCAGAGGCAGCTTCAGCTCTGCTGCAAACTTTTCAGATTCAAATAGAGCAGAGGAGAGTAGACTTCAGGCTTCCTTGATATACTTCATTTTTTGCTAGAAGCCCAAGCCTGATACCACATTGGTGCTGGCCCTGATGGCACATCTCCTTGCCCTCACTTTCAATGCTGGAAGATTGGAGATAGAACAGGGATGGGCAGGGGGCAGCATTTGCCTGCCCTGGGAAGAATGGCCATTTTTCCTAGCACAGAGGAATCCTGCGGATATCAGATAACAGCATGGGATGCAGGGAGACTTCCCAGCACAGATGCATGCTGCTGCTTCATGCTTTCTCCCCTAATGATCTCCATTTGCCTTGAGCCCTTTGTAGGAAAAAGGCAGGATATAAATCGAAATAAATAAAAATAAAAAAATATATAATGGGAATGGCTGCGGGCACAAGAAATCCTTGCTTGTTTTCTCAGTTTGGAGATTACAACATGGGATGCCTTCTGAAGGGCTTCTGCTAGGAGAGAAGCTTGGAGTCATCCTTTACTCTGAAGGGTTTGCTAATCCATTCTGTGCTTTTGCTCCAGCATCTGGTGCCAAATAGTGGTTATGGGACATGGATGTACATTAAGGAACAGGGTGTGTTCGAGCCCAGTTGCTACAGAAATTTGTCAGTACAAAAAGCTTTCACACAAATAACTGCTCCTGGTTTTCTTCTCTTAGCTTTCTTATTTAGCCTTTTGGTTGTTGCTGTTGTCGAACAATAAGAAATCAGAAACCTTAATAGTTCTTTTGAATGTCATCCTGAAATAGAGCATATGTATATTTTTCTGTTGTACCTTTTCTCAAAAAAAAAAAAAAAAAAAAAACCAAACAACCCAAACAACAAAAGCACTAAAGGATAGGTTTAGCCTCTATTAGAAGAGCCAACAAAATCTGCATTGAGCTGTTATATCATTTGCTATAATTAAGCAGTCTTAATTAGTGATGCAAGGTATAATAAAGCACCCAGTATTACATGGTCAGAGTCAAGGCAGAAATCCAGTGATAAATTGAACCTGTTTTCTGACTTCAGTCTCAGAAACATAACATGGATGGAGCTTGCTTAGTCAACAGTCTAGAAAATAAGAGACATTCCCTGGTCATTTCTCCCAAGTGAAACAAACAAAAATGTCAGGAGCTTGTGAAATTAATTTTTGTGGGGTCCTAGTTACTCTTTTATCCTGGAATTTAAGTATTAAAATTTCAAACACATAAGATGCAACATCAGGAGATGAGTGGAGGAAGCACCTCATAAAAATGAGTTGTCTTTAAAAAAAATGAGCTGCCTGACTAAAATGTTAGAATGTTGCTAAGGAATAATTACTTGTTTTGTTCTTTAAAATTCCCCTTAATTCTTATACTAAATTTACTTGAAAAGGCAAACTTAATATTTAATGGGGACCACTGTGTAAATTTATTTATTCTCCTCAAATGCTTCATTCATGTGCATTGTTGAGCTGTGAGTCAATGAAAAGTAATTCCTGTTGTGACTCAGAAGGCATTCATAAACAAATTATTTTTAATTTTTTCCACACTAGAGGTCCATTTGTTTGATGTGTGTACAAGTAATGTCTCTCACTGACTCATTCAGTACAATAGTTGATTTGGGCAATCCATTCTGGTATTTGGAGCAAAACCAAGACTTGATGTTTAAGCAAAGATGAAATTGTTCTTTAGCCATTTCAGTGCAAATTCAAATAGTTTGAAATCTGGCAGTTCCTAAGTACTTTTTAAAAATATTTTCAAATGGCAGTTCAGTAGCAATTTCAGGGTGGTTTATAAAAGCAATACAAAGTACATAAAATATAATAAAAGAAGCTGTAATATATTAAATAACTTGGGAGAATTAAAAACAATGCTTGAGTGAAATGATAATATGAAATTATAACTTGTTGGTACCAGGTGCACCCCATGAACAGGACTGGTTGCCGTGTGCCTTACCTCATATGGTGAGAGCACCTGGAGGAGAGTTTCCAAATGATCTCCATGCCCTGACAGTTTAACATGGGAGCAGGCATTCCTTCAAGTATATAGGTCCTAACCTATACTTATTTAGCTGTAACTTTATCTCTATGTATGTATATACAAGGCTTTGTACAAGAAATTGAACTTTAAAATTTAGAAAGCATTAGGTTAGGAGAGGCTGGTGCAGTTAGTGGTCCCATGATTCAACCCAAAAACCTAAGAAGTAATTTACACACATACTTTCCCTTGAGATTAGGATGTTCATTTGTTCTTTTTGGCTTGTTTAGGTGGTTCTTCGTGGTCTCTGTGCATCACACATACATACCAAACAGATGCATTAAGCCTGTTGTCTGGAAGAAGCTATGCATTCAACTGGGTTGGAGCCCCTCCACTTCCTGTTCCAGGTTCCTGCAGGAGGGGCTCCCACTCTTTCCATCACCTCTTTTTTGATCAGCATTGTGCCAAGATTAGGAAGTGCTTCTCACACTTGAGTACTTTTTCAGCGTTCTTCAACTTTTTCTCTTACCTTCTCTATATAATCTACTTTCTTCACGGCTTTCCCTTGTGAATCTGTTTTCCTTTCACTCTACCTTTAAAAAAATCTACAAAAATATATACTTCTTCCTGCTTTTTTTTCCTTCTCAGTTCTTCATTGGGTCCTCTGTTGAGTTGCTATTAACCTCTGTTCTTGTCTACCGTCCCCATCTACCATGATGGCTTCAACATTGGTATTTAGAAGTTGTGTCTGCTGCGATAGCAAGTTCCTCCACTTTGATGGTCACTCCCTCTGCCACCTCCGTAAACCCTTTGACATGGATTATACTGCATTCCATGTCTGTCTTGGCTTGGGCTGTTGGAAAAAGAATGGGATATCCTTCTCCAGCACTTGCTTCCAAGGAGTACAGGTCTTCCCATAACTTGATGACTAGCTCCTAGTTGTACCAAGGCAGAACTGATACACTCCATCCACACTACCTGCTTTCTCCTACAGACACTGGGGCTGTGTATAAACCTTGAGAAATCTGTTCACTCTCCCTCCCATCCCCCTCATAGGGCCCACTTTGACTCACCTTCAGCAATGGCTGTCCTCCTGACATCCAGAACAGCTGCACTAACCAAGTTCATCACCAAATTCAGCATGCAACTGGCTACCACAACAAACTGAATACAAGAGCTGCTCAGCCTCATGTCTGCAACTGTAGCAGTGGACCATTCACAAGAGTTTGAATGAGGCTCCTGCAGCCCTAGTTCATTCACATATTCCACACATCAGAAGACCCATGTAGGACACATTTTGATATCACGCCGTCCGTCTGGTACATCCCTCACTACTGGACTACCCCTTGCAACCTTGCAACCCCTGGCAAAGGACACCAACTTTTCTATCCAGACCCATCAGTCACTGTAACCACAGATGTGTCCCTGTCAGGATGGGGAGCGCACTGCACAAACCTCCAAATCCAGTGGACCTGAAACCACTCGGAGTGTCACAAGCACATCAACGCCTTGGAGATGCTAGCTATGCACAAGGCCTTCCAATTGTGCCTGCATGGGCATCATATCCAGATAGTCATGGAGAACACACCCATGGTATTCTACATCAAGAAGCAGGGAAGCACATGGTTCATCCTGCTGACAAAGCTGGCCATCAGGTTTTAAGACGGGTGCATCAACAGGGACATCATCCTCACAGCCATCCACAAATGACACCCTGGCAGATATCCTCAGTTGCATGAACGTTGACACACATGAATGGCAGCTGAATGCAGGGACCATTCATAACCTCTTTGACACATGGAGTACACCTTCAAGTCAACCTGTTCATGACAGCTGACAACATGAGGTGTGAGCTTCTGGACCTTGGTGGGACAAGGGACTGGATTCCTGGAGGATGCCTGCCTCCTCCAATGGTGGGGAACCTTTTCTATATCTTTCTCCCTTTCCCCTTCTCCCAAAGGTGCTCATGAAGTTCAAGAAGGACAAGATGGACTTATTACTCTTGTTATCCCATACTGGTTGAGACAACCATGGTTTGCTTGCCTTCTCTAGGTCTACCATGGAACCTTCCTCCAAATACTACACACTCCAGATGTGATCTCACAGGACCAAGGCCAGGTTCCCCACCCCAACATTGCAACCCTGTGCCTCTCAGCATAGCACACTATGCTGTAGGCCACACAACAGGCACTCTGCCACAGAGTGTCAAAACTATTCTTAACACAGCCCTCAAGCCATCCACAAGGAGGTCCTATCTGACCAAATGGACTGCCTTTATCACCTTTGTGCACCAGTAGCATTTTGTCTCACAAAATGCTACTGGTAAGCACATCCTTAACTTCCTAAAGATCTTGTTCCAGAAGGGATTAAGCCCCTTCTCCATCAGGGTATATTTGGAAGCAATCTCCTCCTTCAGCCCACTGCTACAAAGGTAACCAGTCTTCTTGCACCCCCATCCCACTGGTTCCTGAGGAGTATCCAAAACTTGTCCCCCATCTGCCTCTGAATGCTATTATAGAGCTTCTCAATCTTGCTGCAGGGACTGACCAAGAAACCCTTTGAATGACTGGCCAAGATCAACCTCCATCTCCTCTCCCGGAAGCTCATCTTCCTGGTGGCCATCATGTCAGCTAGACATACCAGTGAGCTGTGTGCTGTTTGCTATATTATGGCTATGGCTATGCCATTTCTATAACACCATAGCTGAAGCTCTCTGGGTGGTTCACAACATTTAAGTTACACATTCAAATTTCAACCCTGCTTAGCTTCCAAGATTAGCCAGGATCAGGCACTTCAGGCTATACGGAGTGTAGACTCTCCCTACCTCACCTTTCACAGAGACAAGGCAGTGCTCTGACCAGACCCAACCTTCCTCCCTGAAGTCATGTTTCTACCTCAAACAAGTCATTGTCCTCCCAACTTTTTTCACTGCTTCTACACTTGCTGGACATCTGAAGGTTCCTCACCTTCTACTGTTCCAGGACATAATTCTTTCACCTCTCACTGAGACTCTTCATCTGTTACAGCAGACAGAACAAGGCGAACTCCTCACAGCTTCTGCAAGGGCACACTCCACCTGAGTGATGGCCATATCCACATGCTTCTTCACAGGGAGCTCCCTGCAAAAAGTTTGCAGAACTGTCACATGATCCACACACTCTCTGTTCATTAAGACTTCCATGCAAGGAATGACTGCTACTTCAGCAGAGCAGTCATCTCCTCAGTCCTCCAGTGACCACACCATCCCTTTGTCCATCTTGAGGTAAGCTTGCTAGTCACCCATATGTGTGATGCACAGAGGCCATGAAGAATAACATCAGGTTGCTTCCCTGTAACTGCCATTCTCTGAGTGGCCATCTGTGCATTCGCACAACCCAACCACCTGCCCTGCTTGTTGTTGCCCTTGTGACACTTGTCCCCTTGCTTGCTAAGGGCACACAGGGCCTGGACTGGAGCAGTGCAACACTCCTTTGTTAGTCCTGAGACCCATGGTGGTCTCAATGGAACTGATGGAATGGGTGGGAGCCTGGAACAGGAAGGGGAACGGTTCCTGCCCAATTCAACGCTTAGCTATAGAATCTTCCCAACAAGATTCTTCAGGTGCAGAGCCCATATGTGTGAATGCACAGATGACCACTTGAAGAACGACAGCTACAGGTGAGCAACCTGACTTATTTTTAATGAGGAATATTTTGTTTATTTTGGGTCAGTGATTGACAGTTTTCTAATTGGTTTTTATTTTTTTATCTAATTGAATAATTAAATTGTTTCTCTCAATTAGAAATGGTTTCTTTAGTTTCACCATGCAATGCTTTCTTTTCTTGGCTAAAAGAAAAGTCATCATTTATGGATTTTTATAATATGATATAGTGACTGTAGTCCTAAAAAACCTCTTTCTATATAAGCAGAATATATGCAAGTTTGTTTAACACATAAAGAAATAAATGATTTTGGAGATATATTTGCTGTGTACAGAAATTCAGATGCATAAACCCCAGTGTGCAGAGGCACTTTCTCTCACTCTCTCTCCCCCCGTAATATGCAAAACCCCACAATACCCAAGATTTGACCATCCTATCAGAAGTGTTCTGTATTTGATTTGGGAATAATTGAACTTTCCTGGTAGTTTTATCTATGATTCTGTTTTTATTCATCTAATAAAAGCTTTGATAGCATATGAAACATATTTTCTCTATTCCATCTCTTTCAGGCTCGACCGATGGATTACCCAAAGGACTATCTTTCCCATCAAGTTCCAATATCATTTCACAAACACTGGAATGTTGATCCAGTGAAAATATACTTTAGTTGGCTGGCACCAAAAGAGAAAGATTTGCAGAATGGAAGTAAACATACAAGGGAAGAATTATAATATCTATATCTGGATATAGCTATAGGCTTATTATGAGAGCATCTACTGAATTTTATTGTTGTATTTATAATTTCTTCTTGCCCATTTTGTACAGTACACTTCTTGCCCATTTTTGATCCAGTACCACTTTTGGCACACTGCCCTGCTTTCTCCCTCTGGAGCACTAGAAGTATGCATCACATAATTGGGAATGGCTGTTTGGGGACACCAGAAGCTTATACAGACCTTTCATTCCTTGCAGCATCCCATCATTATGCATTCATGTGTGCATATGCCAATGGAGAGGGAAGAGGGAGAAACAGATCTACACTGAGCCCTGTGGGACTCCTCCATACACTGGTATTGCATCCAGAGTAGTATTGAATCCTGTTCTGATGATCTCTGTCTGGTGTACACACGCGCACACACACGCACATATATGGAGGGGTGCTTTAGAGCTGTAGAATAAATCTTTTTTTGGGAACTTTTAACTATCTGTTGTTTGTGAATTCCAAGTTTTTTAAAAACATTCTCAATTATCAGCAATCAATATTGATTTGTTCTCTCTCTGTCTGCTCTCCTCATCCTGGTTGTTACTTGCATATTAAAGCCTAAGGACAGTGTTAAATTCTCTTGTGTCTTTATGTAAAATGAAGAGGTTAATGTGACTTTGTGTGACTCATCTTAGGGATCCTGTGTATTGTCATTGACATTTCTGTTGGTTTGCAATTTAAACAAATACTGTTTCCAGATAACTGGAACTCTAAAGACTTAGTGTTACTAAACAGGCCACAAGATGTCACTAACTACTGATACACAGAAAACCTGGTTACTCTTGCATTAACAAATTACTCTTAATGAATCTTGGAAACTTAGGGTTACTTATTGACATTATGTCTTCACCACATGGCTTATATGGGCAAAATGAAACCTAGTTGAGTACATCCATAATTAAAGGCTGTGTACATTTTTTAAATTGAAGGACACTATGTGTTAACTGCTTGATTCTTTCTGTATATATAATGCAATTTTGTAGAGAGTAAGTCTGAGCCAAATGGTGAGGGCACATTTCACAAATGCTTTACCACCACCAACACTCACTCAGATTTACCTGCATGATGTCATGGTGGTATGATAACATTACATTGCCTACAAGAAATCTGATTGACTGGGATTGCTTGAGGAAGAATGTGGTTTTTTGTTAAGTTTGTAAATGGCATTGAATGTACAGATCAGGAAAAGGAGCAGCTGCAAGTATGTAGTAAATAGTACATAAAAAGGTAAAGCAGAAGTCTGTGTAAAATAGCCCTACCACCTCTCTAAGGTCCCAGTGTTACTGTTCGAAGTATAGTGCAATCCTAGGCCATTATGCAATGCTCTTCATGCACTAGTGGGATTTGCCACCATTGCAGTGTGAGGCTAGCAGTGCCTGACAAATCTGGAAAGAGTGGGATTGTTTCCAGAACACAGTAAGCCAGTGGGACTCTCAGAAAAGAGCTCTGCTACACTGTCCTGATCCAGAAACAAGCATTTCCCTCCAGTGCTGAGGTTGCTTCAGAAGCTCTGTGCTGGCAGTCTTGTGGTGGAACAGAACTAGCAGAAGCTCAGCAGTGGTATATGATACTGCCCATAGTAAGGAGCTTGTATGTAAACTATCATTACAGTCAGGTTAGACAACCTAAGCATAATGCTGTATTTTTCAGCCAAATATAGGGTCTAAAAGCCATATTATATCTCTGTTTTCACATATGTTTAAATGTTGTTTTCTATAGCACAGCACTACATTGTGTTCCAAAGTAATACAGTTCTTAACAATGGTCAAAACAGGAAAGAATTTTTCTGCCAAGAATTGTTGAAGCATTTGTGTAGTTTGGAAATTTTTAAGTGTGTGAAGACTGAGCACATTCAAAATATGAAAGTGTTTGAACTGGAGGAACCAACATATTATATGCTTTCTCTTTTTTCTTTTGCTCAGTGCCTTATAGATATTTCTACTGATACCAGACTTTCTGTGTGGGCGTGTGTTTGTTTTATATGGGTACATTGTTATTTATGTTTACTGTTTTTAAATGGTACAAACCTAAAGTGAAATAAAACACTATTGTTTAAAATGCTGAAATGCAGTGTGACTTCTTCATCAACAGATTAATTAACCAAAAAAAGGGAGAAAAGCAGTATTTTCTTCTCAAATTCTTTTCCTCAGTTAAAAAGGAGATAGTGTATGATGAATTTTATAACTTGATCATATGCTTGTTTACTCAAATGTAGATGTCACTGCATTTGAGGAAACTCACTCTCAAGCATACTTAGAATTATTGGTGTCTGGATGCCATAACAGAGGTGACAGAAGAGATGCTGCTACATGTACAAACAGTGCAACTTTCTGGTGAAAGTCAAAAGACAAGTATGTTCAGACTTTGTTGTTCTTAAATAGTAAGAACATGTATGAGCATAAAAATAGTTGTTTTGTATATTTTTATATAATGAAAACCTTAATAAAGTGCTATATATACACACACAATATCTTTGCATAGTTCATCCTCCTGCCACTCTCCTTTGCTTTAGACTGTCTTCTAAATCAGCCTTTCCCAACCTGATGCCTTCCAGCAGTTTTGGATTACTGCTCCCTCACCCTCTTCCTTCTTGGCTGTTGACCTTGCTAGCTGGGTTAATGGTCTAAAGAATCTAGAAGGTGCCAGATGGAGAGGACTGCTCTAATTACAGGATGGTTTGACATTTACCTCTTGTGGGAATAAAAAAGGGGGAAATGGCATATAGAAATTAACAGCTTCTGCATGTTCAAATTGATAACTGGTGGGGGTCAGGAGAAAAGCTGGAATTGTTCTTCAAAGTGAACTTGCTTGGGAGATATGGCAAGGCCCAATTGGTCAAGGTTAGATTATATTTAGCCCATGACTAGACAACACCTTATATCATACTTTTTCTAGTAGAAAGCATGCTGTTGTAAGCACATAAGAAAAGCCATGCTGGATCAGCCCAAAGGTCCATCTAGTCCAGCACTTCATACATATGGTGGCAAACTAGCTGCCCAGAGGATAGCTCAAGAAGAACGGGTATAAAACTTCCACCTGCCCAAGCTCCTCAGCAACTGGTGCATGCTGGCATGCCACCTCTGGTAACGAAGATAGTATATAGTCAGCAAGGCTAGTGGCCCACTGGTAGCTCCTCCCTCATGAATCTGTCCATTCCTCTTTTAAAGCCATCCAGATTGATGGCCATCACTACTTCCTGTGGCAGCAGTCCATAGTTTAATCATATGTTGTGTGATCTGTCCTAAACCTCCCACCAATCAGTTTCATGGTATCACCTAGAGCCTAGACTGAAGAGACCCTGGGTTCATACGTCTCCCTCTCCTCTTTTACCATACACCTCTTTTAAACACCTCTATCATGTATCCCCTTACTTGCCTTTTTTAAAGCCAAATGGCCCCAGTTGTAGCCACTCCCTATTGGGAAGTTGGTGCAGCACCTTTATCATTTTCATTGTCCTTCTCTGTACTTTTTCCAACTCTTTTCCTTTTTCAGATAAGGTGACCAGAACTGAACACAGTATTCCAAGTGATTGGACCTCTTCTAGGCCTAACTCAGTAACTCTTAGAAGGGATATTTCTTTAAAGCATGATCACCTGTTACAGCTGATCCATTTGTTACTATTTAATGTAGAAGCACTCAAATTCAAAAATAGTTTAAGAAATATATACTTCATCCTATTTTATTCATCCCACTTGTAAAGTTTCATGGAAAAGGCAGAACCTAATAATACACTTTCTGCACTCAGTTCAAACTATTCTGAGCTATTACACAGATAATTATAACAATGTTTTAAATCTTTACAGTCTTGTAACAGCTTGAAATTTTTAAATCTGAATGTTACACCATTACTTGGAAATGGTGGCAGAATACAGAGACCAGCTGCTGTACTCCCTGTGCTCTGGGAATAAATTTAATTAGTCACAGCGCTACCAGTAGAACAGGGTGGTGCATAAAAATGCTCTTTTACCTTAAAGGGTGACAGATTTTTCAGCAAAAATGATAGAAAATCTTGTATTGAAAGCTATTAAAAAGAACCAGTGTACTCAAAGACTGAGAACTATTGTAGTGTTGTTGAGCTAGGTAACTCTGGGCAAATCATACACTCTCACCCTAACCTTACCAGGGTCAGGGTGGGGGTTATTGTGAAGATAAAATGGAGGGTAGGAGGACTAAGTAAGCCACCTTGTGTTTCTCACAAGAAAAAAATGCTCAATGTAGATGTTAGATGATGATGACAATGATGAGAAAATAATATAAATGTTGACCCCACTTTATCCATGTGGTTCACAGTGTTATACAGTTCATGCCCTTATCTCCCAGTTACCCGCATAAAGACTTGTACAAATTCATTTGAACATAGAAACTGCACCACACCATACAGAGCCTGGAAAGAATTCTGCAAAGTGACCTTGTTCAGATTTCAAGACGATGTTCAGATGTTATATCCTAGGAGGGCCCACAGGTGGCATAAATCTCCTCTCTCTGCTGAGTTTACTGCAGCTGCCCCTTTAAATTTCAATTCCTCTCTATGCCCCTTTAGAAAAAAGAGGGATGGTGTGCAATTTTATCCTATTCCCCAAGCCTTCAAGTGCATCAGGACAAAAAATGCTCTAGACAGATTTTTGCTGGAAAGAGATTGTTACTTGTGAAAAGCCAGACTCCCCTCATGCTTTTGCTTTCAACAGCTGGTTTGCCTTCCACCAGGGAGACTATTTCCAGCCTTTTGGGCAAGATCCTGCCATCCTTGCTGGCAGTTCAAGAGTACACCTCTCTTCAGCAGCACAAACTGTCTCAGCAAAATCACTCCCATCCTGGCCAGCTGCATATCCAGGAGAAAGCTGTTCTTTTTCTCCCAACCCTCTGTGGTCAAACTGCTCTCCTTCCCATGAAAAATCAGTTTGCAATCACAGCCGGGAGAGAAGACAGCTGTGGCCCATTGTTCCAAAGTGCTGATTAGGCTATGGCAGTCACCAGGCAGCTGCTTGGCAAAAGCAGCAAGAGAATTTGGCCACTCTTGGCAAGCAGCTTGCTGGCTGCAAGTTTTCACCCAAGGTGAGTTGTGTCCTCCCTATTCAGAACCTAGACTGTTGACCCTAGAATAGCCTGTGGACAATGCTGGAGTGAAGTGCTGTTCCCTGCTTGCATGACACAACAAGCCACCTATGAAAACAAATGGCTGGATTTTTGTGCCATCTGAACCCAAGTGTGTCTGTGCTTGTGTCCATCTCTTGACAGCTTTGCTAGTAGTATGTTGTGCTTTATAGTTTATTGAAAAGTCAATGACTGAATGTGGAAAGGCTGCTCTATTTAAATCCCAGTTAAGGCTTCTTTTCTTCTAACCTTTGAAGAGAAATATACCCTGCCAGCTAGACCTAATCAATATTTCTCTTTTAAAATAAAACGATTCATAGTGGTACACCAACTAAGATGTTTAATGGAACATAATGTTTTCAACAGCTGACAAGGATGATGAAAGATGTGAGAGCATAGTCTCTTCCTGAAGTCTTCACTCTGCTATCAAGCCTTTTTTTCCCAAGTGGAGCTCCATCTAACAGATCCAAATAATGTAGCTAAGTTATACAGTTAGCCTTCTTGATAGAATTTTGGATATGGCTAACCCCCTTTATTTCAGTTCTTACTTTGGTAAATTACTTCTCTGCATGTAGACACTGCGAGGGTTTGCACAATCACAGAGAAAAGGTAAGCCATGGAAGTTTGTTTTCCCTCCCTGTTCATTGTGGACTCACACCATCTATTTTGTATAGGCATGGCTTGTGATGTCCAAACCTGGTGAAGGTGAGCAGCTAGTTGGTGTACAAATTACCCTGTCAACTTTAAACAAGTCACATTTGTCCAAAAGATGAACATGTCTCATTGTTTATTGCCAAAAAGCAATCATCAGTACACTGATGATACCCAGCTCTACCTCTCGTTTTCCACCAATCCAGGTGAGGCAGTGGCTGTGCTGAACCCGTGCCTGGCCGAGGTAATGGGCTGGATGAGGGCCAATAAACTGAAGCTCAATCCAGACAAGACGGAGGTCCTGTTGGTGGGTGGCTCGGGCTTCGGGGTGGGGAACTTGGGCCTTGTCCTAAATGGGGTTGCACTCCCTCTGAGGGACAGGGTTCGCAGCATGGAAGTGCTCCTCGACCCTGAGCTGTCACTGGAAGCTCAGGTGATGGCGGTGGCGAGGAGCACCTTCCTTCAACTTCGGCTGATCCATCAGCTGTGTCGCTATCTGGAGAATGATTGCCTGGCAACAGTGACCCATGCTTTGGTTACTTCCCGACTAGACTTCTGTTACGCGCTCTACGCGGGGCTACCCTTGAAGACGATCCGGATACTTCAATTGGTGCAAAATAGAGCTGCCAGGTTGCTGATGGGGACTGGGCGTTGTTCTCATATAACCCCAGTTCTCCGTCAGCTTCACTGGCTCCCTGTGGAAGTCCGGGCCCAATTCAAAGTGTTGGTTATGCCCTATAAAGTCCTTAATGGCTTGGGACCTAGTTACCTAAAGGAATGTCTGCGTCCATATATGCCCTCCCGCCCCCTACGATCGTCAGTGGATGCCCTTCTCTAGGAACCCTCCGTGAATGATATTAGGAGGGTGAGTACTGGAGGAGGGCCTTCTTTGTGGTGGCACCCCACCTATGGAATGCGCTCCCCAGAGAGGTCCGCCTGGCACCGTAATTATTTGCTTTTCGGTGCCAGGCGAAGACCTTTTTATTTAAAAGTTATTTTAATTGTTAATTTATTATTATTGTATTTATAGATTTTAATATATATAGCCGAGATGGTACCAGTTTTTAAAGTATTAATTGTATTTTTTATGAATGTTGTAAGCCGCCCCGAGGCTTTGTTGCGATGGGGTGGCATAGAAATGTTTTAAATAAATATTACATCATGTCATTTCAATTTCTGCAAATCTTACTGGTCTTGCGTGGGAGCTTCATGGGGGATTCTTGACAGTGACATACACCAAAATGGATCACTAGGTGTCACAAGCACTTTCACCAGCAAATGCCAGTATTTTCATAAACATCTTAGTCTAATCTTCCTAATTGTTTAAAGACTCACCAGGAAATCTTGGATGTCTTCCAAATATACTTGGCCACCATTGCTTGTGCATATGTAGAAAATTCAACATCTCTAAATTTTTGTGAGAGGTCCTCACCAGTGATTGTTGATACTATTCAGATTTTCATACACACATGCAATTTATTACATTTATATACTGCCCAATTTCTGAAGCTTGCTTTCTATGTTTAGTAATTATTCCTACTTCATGTTTGAAGTAGGAAATGGAATTCAAGTTCTCTTCACA